ATACACACACACACACACACACACACACACACACATTCATTTATCCTTACCAGGCTGACACTGACTCAACAAATAGTGTGTGTTTGGGCCGGGACTATCAGTTTATCTGGCCAATTGCAGACTGTGTGGAACTATGAGGAAACTTGTCTAATTTAGAACTTCTGTTCGATAATGCTAATGGTGAAGAAATAACACACTTCTTGTATTTAAGGGTTACATCTTTTTAGACTTCACACATTGAGAACATTTGTGTGCTGCTGTTTCATTCTAACTGCTGTTAACAGCAAAGCAGAACTACAAAACTGTAAACAGACGTATAGAAGAACAACTTTCAGTATGAGCACAGAGTTACAATGATCGACTACACAAGACTAGAGATCTGAGGTTATTTATGAGAGTGTGAGCAGGGCTGAGCTTCAGGACATGGACAGAGAGAGACTGGAGATGATGCTGGGCATCCGTGACAGTATGAGAGATCATGACCTCAGGACAGAGACAAATGCATATCAGCCACTTCAACATAGAGGTAATCACATTCATTTCTGTTATATAATGAACAAATAGTCACAGTTTGCATGTTTAGTCAATTAACATCATATCTGTCATCTTCAGGAAGTGAATCTGCGAAGAGCAGAAGCTCCAGAGCAGATGTAGTGTGTTTGGTGCTGCTGTGTGTTCTCCTGCTGACTGCAGTAATAGTGCTGTCTGCTGTGTGTCCACATCCATACAAAGAACACAAACTACACAGAAGAGACACACCAGCTACTAAGCAGGAATAACGGTTTAACAGAAGAGACACACCAGCTTCAGAAGAGACATTACTAATCTCACAAAAGAGAGAGACCAGCTATACTATCTGATAATACCATCTTCTCAGAGAACAAAGAGCAGCTACTAACTAAGATCACAGCCCAACAAACAGAAAAAGACCATTTAATAAACCAGAAACAAACTCTGATGAATGACAGACATGGATTATTATCCAAGAATGACAATCTAATGAAAAAATGTGAAAATCAGGAGAAAATTGAACTGTGAAAATGTATTTGTGGTATTTTTTTAACTATTAGACACAATCTGTTAAAAATGTTGTTGTGTAGTTCAGTGCAAATGGGAAAAGTGCTAATACTTGGTTGTGTTTACAGATGGATGGATTTACTATCAATCCAGATTTACTTTATTTCCTCTGAGATGAAGAGCTGGACTGAGAGCAGAAGATACTGTACAGAGAGAGAAGCAGATCGGATCATCACAAACAACAGAGAGGAACGAGTGAGTGAGAGATACTGTGTGTATGAGAAGCAATCACATGACATTTGTCAATTTTATGATACATTTTACATTGTTTCATCAGGATTTTGCTAAGAAAATATCTGCTAATGCTAAAGTCTGGATTGGTCTGACTGACATTGATATGGAGGGCAGATGGAAATGGGTTGATGGCAGCACACTGACACCTTGGTGAGAAATCACTGAATTGAACTGATTAATATCTAATAAATGATTATCACACTCAGTATCAAATCACACAGAAAGCAGCACTGAACATCTAATGCTGATCTGTTGATGCAGGTTCTGGGATCCTCGAGAACTCAATGGATATAGAGGAGAGAACTGTGCAGTAAATGATTCATGTTACATGATTAAAGACAAGTACTGACCAAATGACACTTGCTTGCATTGATAGACATCTTTAAATAGAGCAGTCTAAAGTCCAATAGTGTCTAAGAATGGTGAAATCCCTGTCTTGTCTTAGAACGCATGTCTTATGAGGAAGTGGCTCTGAGGGACAGAGGGGAAAATGGTACAAGAGCTGTGACTTCGGTGATACCCTTTCAAAAGGTACTAATATATAAAATTAAGATACTAACATGCACCCTTTAGGGGTAAATATGACACACTGATGTATCTTTTGAAATGGTACTGGCCCAGTGACAACTCTTGTGTAATTTTTCAGTTTTGTGAACCAAAGCTAAGAAGAATGATTGTCTCATGAATTAAAAGTCTCAGTTTTGTCGGTTCTGATAGCCTCATGGGCAGCGTTCCGACATAATAGCGCCGTTGCGCTTTGGGCGTCCCAAGTTCGGGTCCCAGCTTGCAGGTCTTTGCCGATCCCATCCCCTCTCTCTCCCACTTCACTTGCTGTCTATATATGCTGTCCTATCATAATAAAGCCAAAAAAAAAATCTGTAAAAATTATGATAAGCTTTACAGTGTGTTATTTTCATTCAAAGACCTGATTTTATATACAGCGGCTCTTAATAAACTTAATTGTGCCAGCATCATTACATCAATAAACTTATTTATTTATTTTTTCCTTGTAGCCTTCTTGTGTTTTAAGTGATTTTGAACCGCACTTACATCAGATCAGTTCTGTTCTGCTTTTCTGACTAACAGCTTACAAGAGAGGATCAAATATTGTAGGTGAACAAATAACTCAAACAACTCAAAAGTAACTCAAAAGTCAAACACCTTTTCTATTCTCATAATGATGTGACGTGTAGCCAAGTATGGTGTTCCATTCTCGGTAGTGGGCAGCCATGTGCTGCGGAGCCCGGGAAGCAGTTAGGGGTTCGGTGCCTTGCTCAAGGGTCTTACCTCAGTCGTGGTATTGAGGGTGGAAGAGAGCACTGGTCATTCACTCCCCCATACCTACAATGGTACCGAGACTCAAACCCTTGACCTTTGGGTTACAAGTTACAAGACTCTCTAACCGTTAGGCCATGACTGCCCCCTTGTGATAGTTGTGAATAAAGTAAAGTAAATAGTGGCAGCAACTAAAGTGACTGTAAAGTAAATATCAAAGATGACAACATTTCATCACAATTAGTACAACATTTAATAAATGACACCAAAACATTGAAACAAATCTTAATTAACCAGCTGCACCAGGCAGAGCTGAATTGATATCAAAAGTCCAAAATATATAATATGTGCCGTATACTAGTATGTGCCTTTAAGGTGGTATAGTAACATGCACCCTTTAGGGGTAAATAAATAGGGATGACAGATCAGACACATTTTCTGTAGGTACAGTAGTAAGATCATCTTAACTAAACAAACAAACAAACAAACAAACGATCAATCAGACAAACAAACAAATACATAAATGGCAATTCTAATGGAAAATCTAACCAATTAAAAATGATCAGAATAAGCAACATTATTAGAAGAAAAAAATAGCAGTTTATTCATGCTGCTACAATAATAATAAAATTAAATTTGCCTTTTGTTTAAGATGTTTTGTTCTATAATTTACAATGCAGTATATAATCTTTCATTCATGATTCTGTATTTGATTTTTTTTTTTGTTCCGTTTAGTGATGCAGGAAAGAGGAAAAGTTAATAATTGCAATCATTTATAAAAATGGTAATACACTGAAATTTTATTTACATCAAATGTTTAGCTACACATTTTGATTTTCTAGTAGTCTACAAGCAAACTGTTTACATGGGGGAAATGGAGATCTGTATCATTTCTCAGTAAAACTTATTTAAGTGCTTTTATATATATAGTCAGGAGATGACTGCTCAGTGCGGTCACAGTGGTGTGGTTAATGTTCAGCCTCTTAAAGCATTAGTACACAGCGGTGCGGTCCACACACCAGCAACTTTGACTCTAGATGACTCACGGCAGTAGAAGTATTGAGATACGAGTGATGGAAAGAAAAGGTGTAGAGGAGATGATTACTGATGCCAACAGAGATGCTAGAAACCGTCATAATGTCAGGACAAAAACAGAGAACTCAGACACTAAGAGACACCAAACACCTCGACACACAGGTACTGAGACTCATCTCATTATAGTTACATTAACTAACATGCGCATTTGAGTATATGATATACGTGTTTAAGAAATATTTATCGTCATGTTTGTGATC